TTCCTTCCTTCCTTCCTTCCTTCCTTCCTTCCTTCCTTCCTTCCTTCCTTCCTTCATACAGGTACAGTCTTGCCAAAAGCCTCCACTCTGGTTTGTTCCAGAATGATAGGTATAAACTCATGTGTGATGCACAGGGGATATCACTCCTTCAAGATACAGTACATCAGGCAGAAAACAAACCCTGCATAAATTACTACAACTCTACTTTATTGTTATAGTTTAAAAACACAGTCTTGAAAGCCTGACAGAGATTCTCTCTCTCCCCTTGTTTTCTGAAATTCGTGTATTGCCGGCTAATTTAGAATTTGCAGGACAGGTCCTGAAGCAGGAGGACATTAAAGGAGGTGCCAGGACTGAAGCAAAGAGCATCATGTTTATTTAAATTGTCCCCATTAATTACTTACAGCACCCGGGGCCCTTCCTCCATCTACCACAGAGAGCCTGAGTGGCGAGGATGATCTCCAGCATTTCACTCACAAATAGGCTGCTTTCGTTGGGCAAATTTTGTAGCTCTGCAACCTCTCTTTTTCCCCCTCCACCCCCAGAGTTGCTCAGTTTAGGCATCAGCAAAGGAAGGTTAGATATTAATGAGGTGTCTTATGGGAACTGGGTGCACGCTACAGCAAAAAAGGGAAATAATTATCTGATTGGGGTTAGAGCTGGAAGTTCGTAATCTCACAGCTCACAAGAGTAAATAAGAAGAGCTAGTTTGTCTAAGCAGCCTCTCTTCCAGGTGTTAATTGAAAAATGGTCAATTGCAGGACACCCCTCTTGACTGGAATCAAGATGGGCAATCTCGGGTTTCAATAGAAGAGAATATCTATAGCTCAGGGTCGAACTGGGGAGTCCTTGGTGCTCTCTGAGCTTGGTTGTCTGCTTGCAGACATTTCATTACCTGGCTAGGTAACATCATCATTGCTGCTGCTGCTGCTGACACCAACATCATCAGTGCTGATGATTAAGACACATAGAGATAAACCACATTTACACATCATTCAAAAGAGACAATAAAAAAAGCTAAGAAGGAAACAAAAAGACCAGAACGCATCCTCTCCAGCAGCCAATGCCCAGATAAGCAGGGATTAACACCAGACAAACAATCAAGCAGAGAACAATACCCTAATCAAGGAACTAAGAAGGAGAAAACCCACCGACACTGGCAGGGCAAGCTACTGTATATAAACAAGGAGCAGACCCCACACTCACCTACACTGGTGATGTTACCTAGTCAGGTAATGAAGTCTGTAAGCAAACAACCAAGTACAGAGAGCACCAAGGACTTCACCCCCTCCTGTTTTTCTGGGCTATGCTGATATTTACATAGTGACTGCTGAATTCCTTTTTCAAGACTATCTCCATACTTCACTATAGATGACCTCAGAGAATCACTGTTATACGTCAGCAATCTGTTGTTTATGGTTTAATGTGGAGAGAACCAAGGGGCTCTGCAGAATTGTGGACCAAAGTAAACTCTCTCTGGGGGAAGTTTGAAAAAGCCACTCCCTACCCAAGATACCACTCCCAAGCCTCTGGCACAGGATATGGCTATAATGTTGTTCATTTTATGCCAGCTAGGCAATGGTAGGGTAAGAGGGATGGACTTTGTGTGAGAAGAGGCCTTTCAGACCTCAGTTGCCTATACAATATATTGGAAATAGTGGAACAGGAGATCATTCTGGTTGAAAACTCATCCAGGAACAGTTCTCAGTTTCTCCCCTCTCAGCCTGCGGAAGCGCTCCAGGGTTGTGATAAAGCACTTCTTTTACACAGGATAGGAGGGAAGCGAGAGTGATATGGAAGGATCAAGTCGTGCAATGATACAGCCTCCCGTAAACAGGATCCTTTGTCCGTAACATATTTGTGAAGCTTCTCTTGGCTCAGGTTTACCTGTTGTGTCTCCCTCATCATCACCGGACTATGTACATGCTGCAGGCTTACTCGTAGAATTATAGAGTTGGAACAGATCCCAGGAATCATCTAGTTCTGCATCCTGCTCAGTGAGGGATCTATTAGAACATCCCTGAGAGAGAACCATCATCCTCTGTATGAAGCTCTTTGGTGGGGGAGAACGCACCACTCACGTGGCTGCCTGTCCCACCGGCTGACAATTCCTACAGTCCGGAAGTTCCTCTCTATCTGAACCTCCTTCCTTGGAGTTTTAACCTTCTGCTCCTGCCCTCTTCATAACCCAGATATGTGAAGCCTGCTATTGTATTACCCCTCTGTTATCTCTTCCACAGACTAAACATACCCGGTTCCTTAAAGGTTCCTCGTAAGGCTTAGACTTATCATCATCTTGGTAGTCCTCCTCTGAACCTGCTCCAATCTGTCCTTATCCTTTTTGAACTGGGATGCTCAGAATTGAACCCAGGACCCCACTTGGGGTCTGACTAGGGCAGAGTAGTGGAACAGATACTGCCCATGATCTGGACCCTCT